AACAACCTGTAAAACCATATCGGTCCATCCCTGCTCTCTGCTGATCTTAATCGTGCCTCTATTGCAGCAGTGACTGAGTTCTCAAAACAAACAGTAGTTGTTCTCTGTTCTGAGGGAATCTAATTTGATGTCATGTGTCCTGCAGGCTGCAGCTGATTGATGACTTGTCCTATGAAGATGTGAAGAAGTGTTACAGAGGATCAGTAAGTCCCTCACAGAACATCACAAAACAATGTGAACCAACCTACATAAACACATACACACAGTAAGCTCTGTAGGCGTTTTCATAAGTCCAGAGATAACAGCAGACCAGCAGGAGTCCTTCAAAATATTTTTTTTTAAGTCACACACATTTCCGCCATCTGTCTCATCTTCAAGGGAACATGTTGAGGGGTATGTGCATGTTTTCATGAAAGATCCACTGGAGTGGACAGAAAGGTACAGTTTAACAACAACAACCAGCAGCTTAGTGTAAGTCTGAATTTTGAGATAAAATGTCAGCTTTGATTGCGTCTCTATGCTTCAGGTAACTTAAACCTCAAATCAAAGCCTCAGTTGAGATAATAAATGTGGTGTCATCAAGAAAAATGACATCAGGGGTACTCGGTGTATCTAAAGGGCTCTATTGCAGACTTCTATATAGTGATATAGAGGGCTGAATGCATGATCTGATCATAACAGTGTATCTGTAAAGTATGTGTGCTGTTAAAATGAGAGACAACCAAACTGAATTTTTCACCCAGAGGAGCTGTGTATGTCAGGGTTCCAATTTCTGTACAGCTTTATTTAGTGTGCACATTCATGAATTTGCTGTTCAACCTGGCAGTGAATTCACTAAAAGGAGAGGGCGACATTTGGGTTGTAAAAGTCCCTTTCATAAACCATTGCAGGGAGACATAAATCACAAAGAAACCATCACTTATCGACAAAACTAAAAGAAAACGTCCCTGAAAATCAGCAAAAACATTCTACAGTGCACTGAACAGTGTGTTGCTGTAATCAGAGATTCAGCAACAGTTCTTTATCCCCGAACACTGAACACAGAACGTCCCCAACTGTCCACCTGTCAATAAAGTAGGACTGCAACTCATGATTATTTTAATAATCGATTATTTTGTCAATTATTTTTACAATTAATCATTTTTTTAAGAAACATTTTTGTTTAGCCTTTATTTACCCAGGTAAGTTATTAAGAACATATCTTCATGAAGAAAACAAAAAACACAAGAGAAGTGTGTATTTTACAGCATTTTATTTAACTTATTTCTGTAAAACAGCTCAAATCAAATCAAATACAGCAAAATGACAATAAACTTGATTTGAGAAATCAGAAGGAACACATTGAGCTTTATATCTGCCTTGTCAGTGTAAAGCTTTTTCAATTCAAAGCATCAAACACAAAAAAATGTTCTAGAATACCATCCAGCAAATAATTGTACAGCAACATTAACAAAATTATTTCAGCCTTTGTCATAAATAATGCTGTATAATTGTAAACAAACATTTAAATGCAGTGCCCATGGAATGACACTGGCATTTTAATCTAGTTTACAGTATGTTCAGCAGAGGGCAGTAATTGGACACAAATGTAAACTGCTGTCTCAACCTTGTCTCAAAGAGTGATTACAGACTGGCTGTGCTATAGAAAATGAGGCAGAAACACTTGTTTAAGAAATGACCGCATTGCAATGCAGAAATGTCCCCATGTCCACATGTTCAGGGCTTAGGCTTGCTCTTTTTGTAGAGGCTACGTTTCCTGCCGCAGTAAACAGCTGCTAAGCTGGAGTGGAAGTGCTTGGAATACATAGGTAGGACTTTGCTAACCTTGACAGAGAGGGATATTTCAACTCATTAGCCTTCCACCACTGTGAAGGATTTTCTTCCTTGGTAATGGGCTTCTCGCCCAAGTATGTACGGACCTCCTTTCTTACTTTCCCAGTGAGTTCCTCTGCTTCTCCATCCTTGGCTTCTTCCTCACTGCTGGTGTCTGAATCGAGTAGACAATCAAGTAAGGACACGGGAGCTTTATCATGAACAGAAGTACTATTGGGTGATGTGTTGTGTTGGACACTGGAGGACTGCAGCTGTTCTATTTCCACTGCCTTCATTTGTACTTTTACTTTAAAACTGTCCTCAGAAGACAGAAACTTTAGTTTTCTAAATGGTGAATCCAGGGAAGAACTAGTGATTACAGTGTTATGTGATGTGTCAGAGAAAGTGGTTTCATTCTTTCATTGCTGCTCAAGCTGTTCTACAGCTGTGTGCTGGAATGCTTGTGCACCGGCTGTTTCAAAATCCATTCTTTGCATCGACTTGACAAACTCATTTACTGGCACAGAGGAAAGTGCGGCGTATTTTTCACTATTCATGTACTCAGTGGCACAGTCAAAAGGTTTCAGGGCTATGGGGAGCTCTTCAATAAGGCTCCACTGGTCTGGTTTTAAGTCCAAACATTGTTTGCATGTTTTTGTCACAGTTAGGTCTGACAGCCTTGCAGTTACATGCCACTGTTGCTCCAGCAGACGACTGATTATGTGACATGTACTGTTCCACCTTGTGCGTACGTCTTGGATAAGCTTATGCTCAGGTGTCCCCATTTGTTGTTTTTGTTTGGTGGATGCAAGTTCACTCTTTTTAAAATACTGGACAAGGTATCTTGAAGCTCCAGTTGCTTTGGCAACTATTTGGTGTTTAACCCTTTAAACACTATAGCCCACAATACCAGGCTGGCACTACGACTCCCGTTCAACACTGCAGACTGCTATAGCGGGCTCCGGTATATGCCGACTTTCTGTTACATTCATTTAGATTTTTAGTGCATGGTAAAGAATCAGTAGATATGGGGGCTGTAGCTTCAGTACAATGTGTTTGTGCAAAAGAGGTGATGTGTTGTAACACAGAGTCACCACCAGACGGGAGCAGATACCATTTATAGGCATACTGCAATGACTCTGGGCTGTATTTCACTGTCCGAGATGTGAGCGGTAGCATGGAGTCTTCCAGGCCGGGTATTGAGTCAGTACATGAGGTCTCTGCCGATCAGGTGTACTGGATAGTGGTATGAGAGTAGAAATGAGTGTTTGACTGTGGAGTCATCAAGTGTGCATTTTAATGGTGTGGTCTCGGGTTCAAAAATGAATGTAGTGGTGACGCAATTCTGCAGCTAAGCACTACAGAAATGTACTTCAAGCAACCTGAGGAACAGCTTCTTTCTCTCGGCTGTCATCTTACCGAACTCTGCACATGCTGTTCACTATGTTTATACTGTAACGTAGTATATTATCTAATCCTATCACTAACAGTAGTTGACTGACACAAAAACATGACCTTAAAGCTTGAAAAAAAAAAAGGTCATATCTCTCCTAGTTACAAAGTACATTAAGATTAGGAGACTCACAGTATCTGCAGTTGTAGCATTAGCAAATAAATGCATTCCCATTTACAGTGTATGGAATGTGACCTCTCCAAAATTTGCTACAAATTATAATGACAACAAAACACCATGTATTGCACCGTAAGTTACTTTATATAATATACATAGTGTCTGTCTAGATTAATGGTTGGAGTTTCAGCAAAAAGTAAGTGGACTTCTCTTGTAGGTTCTTATAGACGTTTCACCTCTCATCCAAGAAGCTTTTTCAGTTCTTGATGACTGATGGGGAGTTTCAGATGTACTGTATATAGTCACTCCAGTTCACATAGCTAATGACCCAGCAACAACCCAGGACTCACCTGTGGAGCCACCCCTTTACACAAACAAGAATGTGAATCTGCCATGTCAGGAAAGACTTGGGATATTAATGAGCGTAAAACTTTCTGGGGAGAGATCTTAACACTGCATTATAGGTGCTTGATAAGTGGTGTCATAGACCCCATCCTCTGTTTAGAGACGACTGTTCCAGTTTGACAGAGGTGGCTTTGTCTATCCCTCTCTCAAACCATGTGTCTTTTCTGTTCAAAATGTGTACATTGCTGTCCCTTAAAGGAATGTCCCTCATTCTCAGATTGAGGTGAACTGCTGATTCTTGTCCTGATGAACTGCTCTCCTGTGTTGAGCCATTCACTTGTAAAGCTGTTGTTTAGTTTCTTCTTTGTACAAGTCTGTGCACTCCTTCTGCATTGGAATGCATATACAATGTTGCTCAATTTTTGTGTGTGTGTGTTTTATCTTTGGGGACAGCTATTTTTTGCCTGTTGCTGGGTCTCAAGTGCATCGGTTTGTTGTGTTGGGAGAAAATCATTCTGAGTTTGTCAGACACACCAGGAATGATGATGTCCCATCTGTATCTCTTTTCTTCTCTGGTTGCTGTCATGCTTTGTTTTCCAGATCTCTTTGATGACATGATGAAGTTGCAATAGTCACAACATTTCAGTACTTTCTGTATGTGTATGTGTATCTACTTTCTCTTTTCCGTCTGCGTTAGTAGGGACATTCTCAGCCTGTTTGTGTTTTAAGGTTCTGACGACCCCCAGCTTATGTGCCAGTGGGTGGGTAGGAATTAAACAGCAGATATTAGTCTGTGTGTGCAGGTTTTCTGTAGACTTTAACATTGGTGCTTACACACACACACACACACACACACACACACACACACACACACACACACACACACACACACACACACACAGAATCTCAATTCCTGACAATTCTCTTAAGCTTTAGTCATCCATGTTGTTTTTGTAGCTTTTCCTACCACACTTTTCCTTCCACTCAACTACATATTAATATGCTTTGATACAACACTTTGCCAACAGCCAGCCTCTTCAGCAGTGACTTTCTTTTTTTTTTTTTTAATTTGTTTATTTAGACGAGACAGTGCGAATTAGTGTACGTACAATCTCAGGTTGTTGTAAATACGCCAGATTTAGCACAAGGCTAATTTCCATCCGGTGTCCCACACACATAAAAGAGAAACACACATGGATACAAACATAGAAAATAACAATAATGATAACAATAAAATAAATAAAAACAACAATAGTAAAACACAGACAGTAGCACACCTTTTTTGTACAGGGTGTCGATGATCGTCTTCTGAACAGTTTTCAAGTCAGGAGAGTTCCCCTTGACGGTAGTTGCATGTACTGAACTAAACCAAGAGATACACAGTATTTATAATGTTTTACTTAAACTCAAAATCATACATTGATCCATCCATCCATCCATGCATTTTCTATATACCACTTAATCCTCGGTATAGTTGCAGGGGGCTGGAGTCTATCCCAGCTGACTCAGGGTGAAGGCAGGTTCACCTGGACAGGTAACCAGTCTATCACAGGGCCACACAGAGACACAAACAAGGACACTCACATTCACACCTACGGACAATGTAGAATCACCAATTAACCTCAACATGTTTCTGGACTGTGGGAGGAAGCCGGAGAACCCGGAGAGAACCCATGCTGCACAGGGAGAACATGGAGACTCCACACAGAAAGATCCAAGGCCCAGGCCGGGATGTGAAACAGTGATCTTCTACCGAACCACCAAGTCACAGTGCAGCAACTCAAAATCTAATATCTTAATAATTTGAGATACTGGATTTCTAATTTTCATTAGCTACAAACCCTAATCATCAAAATAAAACAATTAGAATATGTAACATTTTCACTTTTTTTAAACACCTAATGAAAAATATCAAACTTTTTCACAGTGTTCTATTTATTCAAGATGCATTTTTGTGCATCTCCACCTCAGTCAGCTCGAACCAAAGATGCCTCTTGAATGAGATGTGAAGTGTCTTCAAGAACCAAAAAGAGAAGTCCAGCTGTTTTTTTGTTTGTTTGTTTGTTTTTGTTTTGTTTTGTTGTTGTTGTTTTTTTTTACTAAAGCTCTTAGCAAAACACACACACACACACACACACAACAAATAAAAAAATGTAACAATGAAAAAAAGATTTTGTCAACAGCACAGAAATCACATTTGAGTTTTTATTAATCATTCATTTTTAAGCGTTTTTGTGTTGTAGGCATCCCAAATCTAACTCCAACTCATATTTAAAAGTTTGGCAACTCTGGTTAAAACCATAGACTGTATAAGAAAGATGGACGTAGCAACTGGCCTTGAAAAATGATGCAAACCCGGAAGTGTCAGAAACCTGCAGTATCACTACGTCCGCTAGGTGCTGGCTTCAGAAATCCAAGATGCCAACCAGAAGGTAGCAAAACCCTGGCTTCATTTTCTCAGTGCAGAAACGAACGGTGACATCATGGTGGCTACGTCCATCTTTCTTATACAGTCTATGGTTTAAACCAGGAGTCGGCAATCCGCGGCTCCATGTGGCTCTTTCATACCTCTGCTGCGGCTCCTTGTGGCTCTGGAAAATAAATGATGATTATTTTAATGTAAATGTATTTTATTTTAGTTTGTTAGCTTTTAAAATGTTATTCTAACTTTGAAGATTTTTGTGAACTTGTAACATTAAAATAAAAGGCGTTTACATTTTTTGTCGCTCAAAATATGCGTCACAACCGCCGATGTACGACACCCACTGGCATGAGCAGTGTTGCCAACTTGGCGGTTTTCTCGCTAAATCTGGCGACTTTCCAAATCCTCCTGGCGATTTTTTTTTTTTTTTTTTGGTCAAAAGCAACTAGCGACAAATCTAGAGACTCTTTCTGGTGTTTTGGAGACTGATGTGAAAACACGTATCGTTCTGCAGTTCCTGTCCTTAGCGAGCAGCGGTGCTGCCGTGAGCTCCTCCCATCCCAAAGCGTTCACAGGCGGTCAGGAGTCTGGAGCAGCAGTCCCAGCTGCAGGACAAACAGACGGCATTTTTTACTTTGCTGCAGGTAGATAATTTAAGATCGCCTTCAAATTTTATATATACAAAGAGGATTCAAATAAACATAGTAGATAGTGGATAGATAATATTTTATTTCAAAATAACCTTCAACCCAGTGTCTTTTTTTTTAGTTCAAAATGTTTTTGTTGCATGCGGAAATAAAATGTTTTTTTCTCTGTAGCAGTTCATTGATTTCATTAATGCAACACACTATAGTTTTTTATACATAGCATAAAGGTTAAAACCATATGTGCAGTGTTATCTTCATTTTAGATGTCAAAAGGGTTTTGTGGCTCCTGGTGCTTTCTTTTCCGTGGGAAATGGGTCCAAATGGCTCTTTGAGTGTTTAAGGTTGCCGACCCCGGTTTAAATAAACAATGATGGCAAACATGTATTTGATACTACTCTCATGTAAAACTATATATGAAGCTACAGTCATCTGATAGTTGGTTTACCTTAGTAAAATATTTGAAACAAGGTACCAACACCTTGGCTAAACTTGGCTAAATGTATATACTATAATTTGTCATTTCATGAGGCGTTATGTACCAGGCTATTGTATTTCCTAGCTTTTAGCATTAAAAAAACCTAGAGTGTCTGCTGTTTTCTTTGCCACTGTTTGGAGTCAAAAACCTGCTTCACACAAAGAGTGACAGTGGTATCTAAATATCTAACTCTTGGAGGCAAATATTTTTTGAAGTAGTCAGAGTAAGTTTTTAGTCATTGGACTTCTTCAAGCATCTTCATAGATTTTTTTTCTTAAATGAAAAAAGGAGATAGAACACCACCCCTGACCAAACTAAATGAAAGTAATGTCATCATGGCCAGGAAGATGTAACTGAGAGGAGAAATAAGAATGCAGTATTGCAACAAGGCAGCAATATAAATAACGGACAAGCAAAGAGTAAATTCACTTCATGGAACAGATGAAAGTATGCCGTGTGAAGGGGTCAGACAGATAGAACGTCATCTGAGAAGAAGGACAGAATCATGGAGTGCTTTGAAGAGCAGGCCATGGTGCACACATTACTTGGAGAGCAAGATTTCCTGTTAGACTCCTGTCCTGCAACTTCAGGTCTCCCTTGAACACCATAATTCACAAACCCTGACAGACAAACTGATAATACTTGGACAGAGCTCAACTTTGTGCAACTATATACTGGATTGTTTATTTTTTATTTTTATTTTTTAAATAAATAACTCCCAGTCTGCTAGAATTAGCAACATTTCAACCTTTCCTATCATCCTCAGTATCTAATTCCCCCTGGGGACTTGTCCAGGGCTCCCTGCTGTGCACGCTGCTGACCTATGACTGCTCAGCTAACTTGTTAACCCTCTGCCAGCTGTGTGAGCAAAAGGAAAATTAAACACAAGGGGGTAGACCAATCATTCATATGTTGGGAAATTTGTGGGGATTTTTCATAGATTTAACTTTTCACTCCAAGTTGTAAATTGATATATCTTTCATGTTAAACTATTTTGTGTTAGAACATCACTAAACGCAAGAAGTGTCTTAACTTTCGGAGCCCACATCTTCAATATATTTGCAGAAACAAAAGCAGCTAATTCTGTTTTGTCTGCCTCCACAGACTGTCAGCAAATACAACTCTCAGTACCACAAACTGTTCCAGACAGTTCCTAAAGAAGAGATCCTGATGAAAGGTACAATCTAATTGGGACAGGACAGAACTGTCTATATCCCTGTTTGACCTGATGCAGCTCATATACAGTCATGTAAATAAAGAACACACATTCCATGTAAACCATTGGCTTTTTTTTTTTTTGTTGACATATTTGGACGTGCAAATACTCACCCATTTTAAAACAGTTCCTATTAATAAAGATGACACACTACAACAAATGGCACACAAAATTGACATTTCGTAGTGATTTTCATTCTAAATTAATAATTAAAAAAAAGATAAGTTGCATGAAAAAGGTAAGTATGCCCACGCCTACACCTTCAAATCCATTAAACTAGACTCACAGATTCCAAATGGGGAGTGCCAGGCAAAATCTTTCTTCTTTAAACCTTTGCCTTCTAGTGTATGGTGTTCTGTTTGCTATTAAAGTGTGTGGGGTCATTACTTCAGGATCTAAAGTGCGCTCGAAGACTTTCAGAAAAATGGCTTTTGTTGACACGCCTGAAAACACACATAGTTATGTGTTCGTTGTCATACTGTGTTATGTCTAGGGGTGCAGAGACGTAACATAAAAGGACACGTGGAGAGAAAAACAATGTGAAAGTAGGCAATTTATTGCCACCAAAATTTATATATTTACAATTTTACACAAAAAAAACAAACATTTACAAAATAGAAAAAAAAAGACGGAACAATAGAAGCCTGGCTTCAGGGTGGACTAAGGCCAAAACAACAAACAAAACAAACTATCTAATTAACCCAACAACTGAACTCAACCCTGGAAGAACAGAAATAAACCAAAATACATTTGCCAACCTCCCTCCCTAGAGTCAGCAAAAAACAGGAGAAAACGAATTCAAACAAAACTGGCAGTCCACCCCTACTGCTTCTGACTAACATACAAATATTTACTATCTTAATCTTAAATACGAGACAACTAAATTCTCTGAAACCCGAATTCTAGTATAACTAATCACAACACTAACTACGAAAGCTGGTCATTCTTAGCACCAACACACACTGTTAACAAAAGTCTAAATAGTGAGCACTAAATCTGACACAAGACCGAAGATGCTTCAGGGGCACGAAGCACTGCAGGCGCATAAAGGTGACTCCCTCCCACACGCTGGCCGGAACAGGGTTGTTAAATTCCGCCTCTTCTGGTGGTTCAACCAATCCTGAGCCTCCGGGTGTTCCAATGACGATGATCCTGGACTGCTCATGAATGGAAAAAAAAAAAAAACGTGAAAACAAGAGGAGGTCTCACTCTCTCACAAAAACAACAACCAGAACTCTTACAGCTGGGGCCGTAACACCCCCCTTCCTAAGAACAAACTTCTTTAAGTTCGTCATTAAAACAACCCACGCGATAGAGCATCGGCAAAAACATTCTCGGTACCTTTTTTGTGTCTTATTTCCAAATTGAAATCTTGAATTAGCAGTGCCCACCTCATCAGTCTCTGATTGGAATTTTGCATCTGACGCAGGAACACGAGGGGATTATGGTCTGTGAACACGGTGATTGGTAGAGGACTGGAGCCGATGTAAACTTCGAAATACTGTAGCGCTAAGAGTAAGGCTAATACCTGTTTTTCCAATGGTGCTGTAGTTCACCTGAGAACCACTGAATTTTTTGGAAAAATAGCTGGTAGAACTAATGGCTAATGAGATGATATGAATTGAGTTACACAGGCTTTGATGGCCATGTCCCTGGAACCTTTGGGGTATATTCTTGTGAGGTAGATCTTTGAGCACGAGTGGCTTCATTGGCCTGGACCACAAACTTGTCCATCTTGTTCTAACAGTCTGTTCAGAGGGATGTTCTCCCGCCCCACTGTCAGGGAAAGAACCTTGACAGGTTGAGGTGATGGGCCACGATTCATGGCCACATTGAGATTGGTGCTATTATATTCTGAGCACTTCACGAAGAACTTGAACTCTTTGGCAAGGTGGGACCTTGAAGAACAACATTTAAAACATAAACCTTTCATCTTAAGGAAGGCCTTTCTGCTGTTGAGAAGTTTGTTCTAAAAGTGCTGCATTTTTGACACAGTGTAATTTGTTGTGTAATGTCCAATCATCATAGAATCATCAAAGGGTGTAAAAATATTTGTGCACTGAAATGGGTTTGTTGGTGTAAAAATTTCTTGGTTCCTTCCCACCGTTGCCAACCACTTGCTCGGAGGGAGTTTGGCTTGTTGGGTTCTCTGTTTAAATTTGTAAGGCCTATACCTTACTATGTTAAGTGGTATGTGTTGACATATGTTGTAAAATGTGCTATACAAATAAAATTGAATTTCAAAAAAAAAAAGAAAAGTTGAACAAGAACAATATATTAACCAGGAAACTGATTACACAACCCGAACTTGGCACAACCAAGCCAGGAAAGCACGGACAAAATCAGGACTAATCAAAAATACAATATTAATAATACTACCAGGGAAGTTAGCTTAGCTGAAGACCCAACAGGAGATTGAGGCTTACGGACAGGTGGAGTGATGTGACAGGTGAAGGTGACAGAATGGAGGTGGACAGCTGCAGTGACCAGGTGAGGATGATCTGGGAGACCTTGGATGGAAGCCAGAAGCACAACGGAGAGGATGATGAAGAACTGACCAGGTTTCTCAGAGGCAGCAGGGTGGATCCACCTGATGCAGGGTACGACAAGGTTCACTAACTGGATAGTAGTTTGCGGTCCGGAATCATGTCGTGGTCTGAGGTCAGCTTATATGGAAGGTAGAGATGAGCACCACAAATAAAACAAAACACAAGAAATGACTAAATCAATTCCTGAAAAACAAAGTCAAAGTAAAGAAATTAACCTAAAACATTGGGCTCAATTCACTAGCCGCGGGCAATCACACAAACCCTCAGAACAGCCTGTGATGCAATCTGGTGTCTGAACAGAGCAGGCGCAGACAGCAATCCCCTGAACCAGACCGAGGCGCAGTCTGCTCCGAGCAAAAACAAACACAAAACCAAGGACACGAAAACAAAACATAGAGAAAACAAAAAGAACCAAAAGCAATGTAGAAGAAAAAGAACAATCTAAGAACCAAAACAGCAGCACAGCTCAGGGAGCGATGGTAGCAGCGGGCCAGACAACAAAACTAAATTAAACATACCAGGTACAGCAAACCCTAGGCAACTAGAGGATGTGCAGCTCAGACACACACCTGAAAATTACCCTCAGCATTAATCAGCTGGGAGCGAAGCGACAGACGAAAAGACAGACATTGTGCAGACTTACGTACCAGAGCAGGCAGGTAACCATGCACAGCGAGGTTCCACCAATCACTCCACTTCCCCGGCCCCAGCAATCAGAGATTGTGTGATGGGTGTGAGCACTACGGCACAGACAACAAGGAGGAGATGGTTGAGCACTTACATTGGTGGAGAGAATAGTGCGTCTCGACGGTGATCAAACACCAGGCTGTAGCACCAAACAGAAGAGACTGCCATGCCAAACAAAATGCTGCCACGCCAAGCCACAGCCACCACGGGAACAAACAAGGAGTGGAAGAGAGGAAGCGCCACCGTCACACACCTGATTATAAAGGAGCGCTGGGCTGTAACTACTTGGGCAGTTACATAGTTGATTACACAAACTAGTTCAGATCAGTTTGGGTGAGAAACTGGCTACAAATGCATGGCAATCTGCAACTGCAATAGACAAGGTCACAAGAACTTTATCAGTGTCTACACAACATTTCTTCATCATTTCCAATCAAGTCCAGATTTATACTGACTGAACACCAGGGACAGATGATAGAAGTGAAATCTATAGCAATCTGGTCTCTAAGTTTATACTAATCTGGCACTCAACCTTGCAATCAGTCGACAACTCGCTCTAACGTCTGAGCCTTTTATTATATTTAATATTTACTGATGTTTAAATTGAAGAAATTAATTGAAAAACTAAATTTGCTTGTAGTATTGTTTAAATAGCTACTGTGTCAAAAAAAAAAGATTATATGTTAACTTGTCAAAACATTAAAAAAAAAAATTGGTGCTAATTTTTTTGTGACTGTGAAAGTATACACATACAGTATGAATACTAGACATATTTACTGTATGATCATCATTTAAAGTACATCATATGCATTAAATATTACACAATGCCATCTCAGATGCATTTCTGTCTGTCTGTCTATCTGTCTTGTGACATTATCTCTCTGCTCTCCTGTTCCTGTTCTCCCTCTACAGTCTACTCCTGTGCATTGCTCAGAGACATCCTGCTACAGGGACGACTCTATATATCCAGGAACTGGCTGTGTTTCTATGCAAACCTGTTTGGTAAAGACATCAAGGTGAGTTGAAGAGCACATGTTGTGCATATTTAAAGGTTTACAGTATTTAATATGTTTGTTAATAATATAATGTGTTTTGCTGTAATGTTCAACATTCTCACTCTGTACATTGCTACAACACCTCTGCTCACTCTGTCTGAAATGCTCTGTTTTAGTTCCCTTCTTGAAAATCCCAGTCTTCTATGATTGGCTAGCTAGCCTGACACAACTGTAGTCACATAACATAACCCCAGAGCTGTCTATACAGGTGGACAGACGCAGAGTAAGCAGAAATGGACCAAACTCCCTGCCTGGGGCTATACTAATTGTGTTATATTTGAGTGTAAATAAGTTACGGAAAACAAGCCTGGACTTCAAGCAATGTGTCTCAAGCAGGAAGGAAAAAGTGTGTTATATGAGAGAGTAGATAAGTCCTTTTGCTGTTGACTTTAAATGAAGGGGATGCTGAAGCACATTACAGACTATGTCCAAGATTCATGGAGGAACTGGGATCTAATCCTGTGTTGCCTTGCATGGTAGACTTTCCTGTCTCCAGCTAAGACAGTACAAACAGCAGGAGTACCTGGGCTGCTGAGTAGGGATCTGTTTGGTGAAGTCCACACCAAGGGGGACGCCAACCAAACCTGTTACGCAGTTCACACCACAAGTATCAATGAGCCCACAGGCAAGAATATGTTCCTCTCAGGGTTCAGGCTGCCAATCTGGGCTCAGCCAGGAAGGGATGAAACAGGGTCTTGTCAGCCCGAGACGGCAGGTCTTTTTCAAAGTGGAAGCTTCCAGGGTGTCTCATTTGAAACCATCACAAGTGGGGCCAAAGAGGAGCCACCAAAATTGACCTCACTTACTCTGAATCCTTGGAAGGGGCTGGAGAAGCATGAAAGGAGAGAAGGCTCAAAGCAGACTACAGGGCCACGTGTGTGCCAGGGCATCCCACCCCACAGGTGGGTTATCATCCCATGAGGGAAAAGAAGAGTCGATAATATTCTGATTTTCTAGAACTGAAAAGATTTAACCTTTGCCCTGACAAAGTGACATCAAATCTCCTTAACCCTCTGAAGACAGAGTCTCTACTCCTTTGTTAGTGTCTTGTTAGAGTCTATCTTAACATGACTTCTGCGGCCATGTTCAGAGTTTTCAACACGTGGGACTCTGAGTAAGCAGAAGAGAGAGTGAAGCCTCTGTCACAGTGTGGTTGTCACCCTGCCTATTGATAGGTGCTGCAATTATTATGCTGTCTTTCCTGGCAATGATGTGGTGACCTTACAACCTTGGTTGGAACTGCCAGAGAGCAAGGAGCTCTATGCTGCAGGAGGTTACACTATTACTATAGGTCTTTACCTGCTGCTTTGCCAACTGGGAAGTCTGTGCTTAGCAGGGATCTTACCAAACATACTAGCTTGTGACACCATGAGCAATGCACTGGACAGGTACCAAAGGGATAGCGAATGCTCTCTTTATTTCGAGGGATACTAGCTTGACTTGGATGGAACAGAGTCTACTTTCTGCTGCTAGCCAAATATTGTGCTTAACAGACGAACACTGAGCATGTCAGTGGACCACCGCAGCAATATGCTGGACGGACTTTGAGGTATCAGTCAAAAGATTTCAGCATGACTGTACGAACATTTCCTCCCCTGCTGTTTAGCGGACAGAGAAGTCTGCATTCAGCAGGGACCCCATCTACTGCATCAGCTTACAAATCCGCAAGCAATACATCAGTAAGGACTCACTGTCAAAATGAATTCCTTTCTTTTTCAAGATATTTATTGCTATGTTATATTATTGCTATTTATTGGTTGCTATGGTTGTGTCCATGATAATGGAATAGGAGGCCGTATAGTCAGAGATCAAAATTGGTATTCTGACACTGGCACTCCGAACGAATAGTCGGCTATTCGGCTATTCGGGTCCAGCCCTATCAGTTACTGTTTTTGAAAACTTCCTAAGTACTATTCAGTTAAAGATTATTCGTTAGAATAAATTATTTTATGTCAACATAATCAAGATAATCAACTCAACGTTAAGCATATATATATAATAATCATATTATAACATCTCGTAATGTACACTCTCTTATTCTGCCAAATTTATGCCAGTGTACTCTTTTTTGCTGTTTTTGCTCTCAGTTCCACCTGATGAGACCTAGACTGAAATCAGGGGCCTCTTTTATCATCAGTGCGTACGAACATTGCTAAGTATGGAATTTATCAACTTGTACTTATACTTAGGAATGTGTGTAAATATAAGCACACCTCTGACCATGCGTATGCACATAATCTAGCGGTAGAACAGTGAAACTACAAATAGAAAGCATTCAGGGATTTTGACCACCGGCACATTCCAGCGTGAGGTTGAAGATATGCAGCGTTTCCAGCCACCACTGAGCAGGATCATGCTGGCATTGTTGGAGGCCATAACTCCCCTGGCCCCAGCCTACATCCAGTTCCCTTACAGTCATCACCAATGAGCCCAAATCAAATGGGGACTTAACGCCATCGCTGGATTTCCAAACATAAGTGGAGCCATAAACTGCACCCACATCACAATCAAAGCACCATCACTAATGAATACAATTTTGTAAATAGACAAGGGTTTCATTCAATCAATGTACAAATAATTTTCGATGCACATTTGTCGCTATCAAACGTTGTTGCCCAGTGGCCTGGAGGAACACACGACTCATTCATTTAGCAGAACAGCTCTGTGGGTCTCCAGGCAGGAGCTGTTGAAGATGGCTGGCTTATTGGTGAGTGTTACAGAGTGAGGAAATGTTTTAGCTGGACATAGTTTGGTTATTAAAACATCTCATCTGTAGGTGATCAGGGTTATCCACTGGGTGAACGTTCTGTATTAATTCGTCTTCCTCCCATTGCAGTCATTTCTCTTTTATGGACTGCGATGCGTTTTTTGGCACTGAGCTTAACGTCAAATCACTTTTTAAAAATCTTCTTCTGACCCAACAGAAATAACTGTGGTGGTTATCTTGTCCCATGCAGCATTTTTTCTTTCGCTGCTAATCTCAACATTCCACGCACCAAACAACATTTTCTGTTTGGCGTCAACCTCGCTACAAGTACCTCGATCTCAGTTTCAGAAAAATTCCTCTGTGGTGATAAATGAGGCCCCAGGTTTCCAATCTGTGCTCTGAGATTGTNACAAGTACCTCGATCTCAGTTTCAGAAAAATTCCTCTGTGGTGATAAATGAGGCCCCAGGTTTCCAATCTGTGCTCTGAGATTGTTGTATACTGAATATCACACCTACCTGATCTCACACCCATGTTTACATGTACACGCCTGCCACTTGCCTTCTCCCTTTTGCTTCGTTTCCCACCTTGGGGTCTCAGACCATTTGTCTGCTGACTTGCACACTTACACAGTCTCACTCTCACCTTTGGGTCTACGCTCACTGCCCTTGCGCTCTCCCTCTTTTGTTCCCGACTTAAATTGATTGCATTCGTTGTGCTTAATTTGTATTGCCTGCAAGGTCATTTCTGTCGAGTACAATAAATACAATACCCTTTTATCTTTGAATGAGAACTTGTCATTGGTCGCCTTTGCTTAATATTATCAGAAGCCACCCTCTGCTTAGAAAGTACTTCAGTTTCCTTCATTATTTGTTGATTTACTGGGTGTTATTTACCTGTTATTGTAAAGTTTC